TGGTTCACGTGGTGGCAGTTATTTGGTCTGCAATAAGATGTCTGAAATGTAATTCAGATATAGAAAGATGTTGAGATTCTAGAAAGAGTACAGAAAAAAGATCAACTGGAATGATTAGGAAGAAAAGTTATAGGAATTGGGTGTGTCTCTTTTAATAAAGAGGAGATGGGTAGCAGTGTTTCAATATCTAAGGGGCTGCCCCAAAGAACAACTTTTTCTTGAAAGCACCTGAAGGCAGGGCAAGGAGCGATGGATGGAAATTAGTCAAGGAGAAAACCAACCTAGAATTAAGGAGTAATTTCCTGACTGTGAGACGTAACTAGGTGTCATTTGTCTCCTAGTCAACCTGTATTCCATGCAAACCTCCAGATTGAGTAGGTGGGAAGTGAGTTTAGACCGAAGTGCACTGCTGTTCCTAAAACAGCATCAGCCCCCACCTCACCAAGCATTAGCTTTCATACCTCTAAAACAATGCTTTTGCAGCCCACTTCCAAACTGTTTCTCTCTCTCTCTCTCTCATTCTGCCTTGATTAAAAACCCTTACAGGATGGGAGATAAGGATTTGAGGGACATGGAAAGGAGAGGCATGGAAACCCCCTGGTACCTGAATCTTCTCAGAAATGTTTAAATGTTCTTTTGTGGCTGTGTTGTAGGGTCAGTTTGGTGCAGAAGGTAGCTCAGTGGCTAAGACGCTGAGCTTGTCAATCAGAAAGGTCGGCAGTTTGGCGGTTCGAATCCCTAGCACCCGCATAATGGAGTGAGCTTCCGCTACTTGTCCCAGCTTCTGCCAACCTAGCAATTCAAAAGCATGTAAAAATGCAAGTAGAAAAAGAGGGACCACTTTGGTGGGAAGGAAACAGCGTTCCGTGTGGCTTCGGCATTTAGTCATGCCGACCACATGACCACGGAGGCGTCTTCGGACAGGGCTGGCTCTTTGGCTTTGTAACAAAGATGAGCACTGGCCCCCAGAGCCAGAAATGAGTAGCAGGTATATGTGAAGGGAACCTTTACCTTGATACAGTAGCTAAGACAGAGGTGCTATTCGACCGGTTCGCACCTATTCGGGCGAACCGGTAGCAGTTATTTGGCATGGGTCACCGAACCGGTGGCAATCCCTGGCTGGCCAGGCCCCCAACCCAGTCGCCCAGACGCTCACTTGCGATCGCTCTCCTAGCTTTCCGTTCCCCACGTCCTCTTTCTCCCCGGGGAAAAGGAAGAAAGGCATGGATGCTGCAAGTATCGCTTTCCCCTTGTGAGTTAAAGTGCCTGGAGTGAGAAGGAGTGCGGTCTGACAGGGGGGGTGGGGGAATCCACTCAAGCCTTGGAGAAATTTAAAGGAGCTGCTTCCAAAATGCTTGTCTGTTAAGTGCTCCTTGTGTGTATGTGTGTGTGTATGAGAGAGAGAGAGAGAGAGAGAGAGAGAGAGAGAGAGAAAATAGGAAGAGAAAGAGAGATAAAACTCTGTGCTATTATTTTTAATTGTTCCATTATTTATCATGTGTTCATATTTTACACTATCCCTACACCTAGAGTGATTTTTCTGCCTTTCTTTTGCCTACCACATATTTTTCAGGGTTACATGCATTCAATGTCAATAGTCCAGAGCATACATATGTGTTTAACAAGAGTTGAAAGGGATCTTGGAGGTCTTCTAGTCCAACCCCCAGCTCAGGCAAGAAAACTGAAGATGGCAAATTCTGAGTAGAAATCCTGGGAAAGGTGTCAGAATGATACTTAGAAGGGACCTCGGAGTGAACCCTATACCATTTCAGAGAAATGGCTGTCCAGACTTTTCTTGAAAACTTCCAGTCATTGAGCACCCAGAACTTCTGGAGACAGGCAGTTCCACTGGTTAATTGTTTTCACTGTCAGAAAGTTTCTCCTTAGTTTTAGGTTGCTTCTCTCTGCTCAGTTTTCATCCATTGCTTCTTGTTTGCCTTCTGCTTCTTTGGAAAATACATTGTCCCCCTTTCTTTGTGGCAGCCACTTAAAAGCCTGTTGCCTATATCACACTATTGAGTAAAGTATGTGAGCCATTTCCTCCTTTCAGTGGTCCATGAAAGTACATCTATAGTATGCAAATAATAGAGTCAAAAAAGGTGAACATTTTTTACAGAACTATAGATAAGTTGAGGCTGGGTAACAAGGAATGGCTGGGAGGGGAGGGGCCAGGTGAAGCACCCCTTGATGTGAGTGACATTGAGTTGGCCACGCCCACCCAGTCACATGACCACCAAGCACGCCCATCCAGTCACATGACCACTAAGCCATACCCACCCAGTCACATGACCACAAGCCACGTCCACCAAATAAGCCACACCCACAGAACTGGTAGTAAAAAAATTTGAATTCCACCACTGAGCTAAGACATCAAGATAGAAACATTTTTCACATTTTTCAGCCTTAGCAACTTGGAGATATGTGGAGTGATCCAAGGTCACCCAGCTGGCTTCATGCCTAAGGTAGGACTAGATTTCACAGTCTCCCAGTTTCTAGTCCAATGTTTTTGCAATCTGGATGACTTTTAGATAGGTGGACTTCAACTCCCAGAATTCCCCAGCTAGCATCCTGGAGTTGAACTTCACACAGGCAGTGTCCACGCTTGCTGGCAGGAGAATTCGAGAAGTTGATGTCCACCTGTCTGTCAAGTTTGAGAAACGTTGGGCTAGAAACTGGGAGACCGTGAGTTCTACTCCTGCCTTAGGTACAAGGCCACTAGGACAGGGGTCTGCAACCTTAAACACTCAAAGAGCCATTTGGACCCGTTTCCCACAGAAAAGAAAACACTGGGAGCCACAAAACCTGGGTGGGTGTGGCTAACTCTGATGACATCACTCCCACCCAGTCACATGACTTCCTGCCATGCCTACCCAGGTTCTGTGGCTCCCTGTCTTTTCTGTGGGAAATGGGTGTCTCTCTCCCTCTCTCATTTCTGTTTTTTGTGTTCTACCTTCTCAGACCAGGCGAGGAGTGACTGGGAGGGGAGGGCGAGGGGCCGGGCCAGCCAGTGTAAGATCACCCAACAGGGAGCCACAGCAGAGGGCCCAAAGAGCTGCATGTGGCTCCAGAGCCATGGGTTGCTGACATCTGCACTAGGATGACCTTGGATCAGTCCCGCCGCCTCTCTCTCAGCCCTAGGAAGCTGACAACAGCAAAGCATTTCCAAAATCTTATCAAGAAAACTGCAGGGATTTTTTTCCAGGCAATCGCCAGGAGTTGGCAATGACTCAAAAAAAAAATGGAAAGGAATAGATTTTCCCCATTACTGAAATAAAACTTTTAGTTGGGCAACGGATGATTATCCCCTGCACGCTAAAACATTAAGAACATTATCCCCTGCACGCTAAAAGCACAAAAATTATTTCATTGCAGGTCTTGCGCAAAACTGTGCTGCCAGGCATGTTCTTGCTTATGGCTTTCTGGTCAGAGTGGGTGATATGGGGAAATATAAAGGGAGGGCATCGCGTTTTCTGCTGGAGCAGCAGCGTAAGAAAATGATAAGTCAACGAACAATTATGCCGATTAGCAAGGGCCTTTGGCTATCGAAAGAATGACACCAAAACATCAAATTAAGCATGTATTTAGAGCTATCCAGATGGTTCATCTAAGCAGCCTTTGTGAATCAGGATATAGGTTGGGCTTTTCTTTTTCTTCCCACCTGAATTTGTAGAAGAATAAGCCTTCCATTAATTCAAGTTGAAAAGGTGGTTTTCACAATATTTGATGGATGGAGGGATGGGAAGATGGATGGACAGATAGACTAGGTTTCTCCTTTAAAGCCCGTTGTGTTTAATATAAGTTTGATACAGTTGTGTAGTCCGAAAGCTTATATTTAATGCTACAAGGTAATAGCATTATTTTTCTTTCTTTCTTTTTCCCAAAAGAGTTATTTGTACTGTGTTTAAATACTTTCTTTAAAGAAATGAACTGCGGCTTGTTGTAAGGGGTAAGACTTAGCCTCACTCTTTTCCACTGACTCAAGAATAAGATCATTCAAAATTTAGGAGGAGGCACTGCATCTAAATAAAAGGGAACAGGATTATGCTGAACGGTGCTCGAAACCATTGCATCAGTCTGTTTATATTATCTTGCAGTGCATGTGTATACATTTCCTTGGATTCAAATGATGCCATGATAACAGATAACAGAGGCAATGCATATGTCCTCTCTCGGCTGCCTTTATAGCAAAATAAACCGTAAGCTCCTGTCAGACCTCCCAAGCTGAAGCTGCTGAAGGCTCTTTAACTATGCTGCCTTCCTACCACAAGAACCATTAGCAAGACTGGGCAAGCGTCTCTTGGAGACCACCAGGGCTGGGAGCAAAGTAGATTGCTGGCATTTTTTCCACCTGGCCCTTAAGGGAATTAGCTAGACAGTAAACAAATCAAAGATCTGTGTACATTCTGGCTCTAATCTTATATCAAAGCCCATTTCCAGGAATCTGTAGAAATATGAGAAGATCTCCCTACTTCCAAGTTAGAACAATGTTTCCCAGTCTTGGGAAGTTTAAGGTGTGTGAGCTTCAACTCCCAGAATTCCCCAGCCAGCATAAGCACAGTGTTCTGACCCAGCTCCGAAACATGACAAACCCTCTGTAGTTAAATAAATGTTCCCTTTATTAGGAGCGCCAGCACAAACAATATAATGAATATCACAGGATGGTTTGGCTGTCAGAAAGTCCCTTCATAGCATTCCTTCTCAGCCAGCCTTAACAGACATCCATACAGCAGTGAAAGAGAAGAAGGGGGAGATGGGAGAAAGAAATAGACATCATTTAAATAAACATAATTTCAATTTTGACTTCCAGACTAGATTAGGTCCCATCCACTGAGAAAGGAAGAAGAAACCTGTTTATTTATTTCTCTTGGATATCATATAAAACCAAACATTTGAGTCCTCAAGAAATCCGGGGTCTTGCTGTGCACATTGCTCTGCTTGCTGTCGATCCATTTAAAAAAAAAAAAATCTCCCTTACCCTCCGCTTCTTTTATTTCTTTTAGATGAAAAGAATTTCCTGCCTTGCAGAAAATAAAAACTCCAGTGTGGAGATAGCTTCTGCTTGATGAATTGGCCTTCTTTGCTACTATAAGAAGGACTGTGGCGAAGAATGCGACTCCATCCCAGTGACATGTTCAGGTCAGTGGTGATATTCTACCGGTTCGGCCCGGTTCTGCAGAGCCAGTAGCAGCAATGAGCAGTGGAGACGAACCGGTTCTCTCTGCCACTCTGCTGTTGGGCCCACCTGCCCGCCTGGGCTCTCATACTCACCTTTATCCTCTGAATTTGAAGCACAGCTGCTTTGCGCGGCACAGCAGAGTGCGGCCTGGCAGTTGCTGAAGCGACCGGGAGAGTGCAAGCTTGCAGGAAGTGAGTTGGAATGCCTCTGCGCCTGTGCAAAGTACGTGTTTGGTACCGTGCACACACAAAATGTGTGCACACATGCAAACTGTGCCCACCAAGCCACGCCCACTGAACTGGTGCTAAAACTTTTTGAATCCCACCACTGGTTCAGGTGAATGACCCCCTTGGGTGCATCAAGCATGGTTCTCACATAGCCATTCAGCTGAGATTTCTGCTGCTTACCACAGGATGGAGTTGCGTTGGGCGTTTGAGTGGCTAAGCTTAAAATGATGTCAACCTTTAGAGAGCCGTTTCTTGAATATTTTGTTGAGAAGAACATTAAGAAGAAGCAGTGCTGACTTCCAGAACATTGCAGAGGGATCATATTCTATTCCGGGGGTCTCCAACCTTGGCAACTTTAAGACTTGTGGACTTCAACTCCCAGAATTCTGGAAGTTGAAGCCCACAAGTCTTAAAGTTGCCCAAGATTGGAAATCCTTGTTCTATTTCATATCAAAAGTCTTCTGCATAAGGAAAACTGGGTGTTGTGGTTTGCCGGCAGACGGCAGTGGAATCGGACAGTGGGGAAGAACGGGGACCAGTCAGGGAGTCTGAAGAGGACTCGGATGAGGGTCCTGCATCCAATGCAGAGATGGGGCCAGGACCACCTGGGAGTGGTGTGCTGACTCCGGAGCCTTCAGAGTCTGGCAGAAGCGAGGACCCAGGGGAGCCTGTTCCCAGTGCGCGTGTGCGCAGAGCTGCTAGAAGGCAAGAGCAGCTGAAACAAAAGGGGCGACTTGGGAGTAAGGCTGGGAGGTGATTGCCCCTCCCCTAAGGTATAAAAGGCAGGCCAAGATGACGAAACCTTTGCAGGAAGCAAAGTAGTTCAATCGGTTCAGAGTCATCCTTGAAGCTCTTTGTACTTCGGTTGGGTTTTTTTCTTGTTCATTTGATACTTCTGTTTTTGGCAGCACTTCGCAGAACTGAAAGGTGGGTGCTTATCTTGGGGGACTGTTTGAGATTAATTCCATCTGGGAATGAAAACAATTCCCAGCATTGCAATAAAATAGGTTTTGTTTTTAAAAATAAGTGTGTGCGTAATTATGGTTTAGGAAGCCTTGGTTCCTTAGGGAGGTTAAATATCAGGTTAACCTCATCTTTCTCAAAACATGCTAGCTGTCTGTGAACAGGGATATTCAGATAAAAAGACCAATTGGATCTCATCAGTAGCAAAACATCTGAATTAAGGTGAAAATCTAATTTAATCTAAGTAGCAAAACATCTGAAAATCTGGTGGGTTTTCAAACCATTAAGAGTATTTTAAAAAATGCATAGAGAACTGTCTTTGGAAGAAGGCAAGTCAAGGAGGTTAAACAGTTGGGAGTGCTTTTGCAAATGAGGCACATTAAGAGTATACTCAAGGTTACTTAATGCAAATTAATTATCTTTTAATGGTATTTAATTATTCCATCTTACTTGCAGTTAAGGGTAGTGGAATTTTAAATGACGGCTTCTTGGTCTAGGGAAATGATATGTTAGCAACGGTGACGTTATAAATGCGGTGTGTCATGTCTTCTGTACTTAGTAATGTACAGAACAGAACTGTGACCTTGGGCAAGAGTGTTTTTCCTCTATAAAGTGCCTAGACCTAACACAACACGGAAGGCAGAGTAGCAACACAGTCCATTTGAATGTTGATCACATATGATTTGATTTGTTGAGCGTTGGGATAGATTTCCTTGAGAAGAAACACAACTTCGACACCCTTCATTGTAGGTTGCTACTGTTGATCTGAAGAAAGTGCTCGCAATCCGAGAGCTTTATGACACCTTAAACCAGGGGTGTCAAACTCAAGGCCTGCGAGATGCTTAGATCTGGCCCATGAGGCTGTCCTGGAAACAGCAAAAGACCGGTCCACAGTATCCCTGCCATCAAAAACAGAGCTCGGGAGGCCACCCACAGCCCTCCTAGGCTCCATTTTCATTGGCAGAGGGTTGCAGGAAGTCGCCGCAGCCGAAAACAGAGTTCAGGAGCCCGTTTTTGCTGGCAGAGTGCTTGCTTGGGCCACCACAGGTGCCCTCAACACGAGTGGTGTTGAGCTGGCCACTTCCTCCCCCGAGGTCAAACACAACCCTGATGCAGCCCTCAATGAATTCAAGTTTGACACCCCTGCCTTAAACTATCCATCCCCAATCTGAATTCCTTCAGACTTCCAACTCCCAGAATATCTAGGGAATAGAAGTCCAAGAAATATCTAGGGAATTCTGTAGGTTGATCCATTTATCCAGAAGGTTCCAAGTTGGGAAAGATTTTCTTAAAGGCTTAGCAACTTCAAACTGAGCATTCATGCAGTCAAATCCTGTTTGTCGCGTGTGTTTCCTTCAAGTGGATAAGCACGTACAAAGTTATAAGGACAAAGAGATTGTGAAGGGTCCTAAAATGTATAAACAATTTAAATCTCTAACAAGATCATGAAATGTTCAAATTATCCAAAATGGAGACCACAGACTTGTGCAGAAGGAATAATAGATGACAGTACATACTGTTTTCTTGCAAATGAGCATTAATTATTCTGGAGAGAGTGTCCATTGCTAACAATAGTGTTAATACACACACAAAAGAAATCATCTGGGTTGCCACAAAAGCATCGATGCAACTGTGGGAAATGCAAGTGCTGAGTGAAGCCAATTTGGCCAAACCCTCCAGAAGTACCTTTTAATGTGTAGTACATATTAACAATTTGGAACTTGATTATTTCCATCTCCTACCAACTTGTGAAAAGTGTTTGGTGAGTGCTGTATCACCGAAGATCTTAAGAATAGTATCTTAGGTAAAAGATGGAATCCTTCCTCTACAGATTTTTTTTTAACAGACTGTGTGTCATGGTTATGGTATAGATTCAGTTCTTCCCTGGTGTTTTTTTTTTAAAAAATACATTTATCCATTTGTATCCTGACTTCCTTCTCAAACTGAACCATAAAGTAGCATGGAATTCATTGCTTCGTCACTTTCAGCCAGAGGAGAAATAGGATCATAGCATTCCACAAATGAGAAAGACCATTTAGGTCAAAACTAGCCCATAGCACACTCCAGGAAATCCAAATTAAAGCATCTGCAACTAGTCTCTGTTCAGCCTTTACTCGAGCATGGTAGCTGCAGTAGTAAAAGGAAGATAATTGGTTGCAATGTCACTCTGAGTGACTATTGAGAAACCCGAACTAGAGAAAGGAAGATAATTGGCTATACTGTCAATCTGCTGTTACTATTAAAATTCTGCCAGACTTATTTCTGTGTCTTATTCTGCAGAGACAGAATCTCAACCTTTTTCTATATGGCAGCCTCTCTAGCATTTGAATGGGGAGGATCAGGGGTGGGATTCAATTTTTTTTACTACCGGTTCTGTGGCCGTGGCGTGGCTTGGTGGGTGTGGCTTGGTGGGCGTGGCAGGGGAAGGATACTGCAAAATCCCCATTCCCTCCCCACCCCAGTAACCTGCTTTCCAGCTCCGTTCTCCTGTGCAGGGCAACCAAAGAAGACCCATCCGATCAGCTGGGACTTGGGAGGCAGAGAATAGATGGGGGCAGGGCCAGTCAGAGGTGGGATTTGCCAGTTCTCCGAACTACTCAAAATTTCCGCTACTGGTTCTCCAGGACTGGTCAGAATCTGCTGAATACCACCTCTGGTGATGATGATGATGTTAGCCATTCAGTCGTGTCTGATTCTCAGTGATTCTACGGGCCAAATCGCTCCACATCTTCCCATCTTGCACTGCTTCTTCGAGTTTTTCTATGCTCTGGCTGCTCTCAGCTTTGATGGCGTCCAATCACCATATCCTTCAATGGCCTGGTTTCCTTTTAATGCTAACTCTTCCAAAGATGATTGCTTTCTCCAGTGAATTCCTCCCCCTCCCCCCCCCTCCCCGCACATGACACGGTCAAAGTAAATGAGACACAGTTTTGTAATTTTGCCTTCTAGTGACATAGCAATAGCACTTAAGACTTATATACCGCTTCCTAGTGCTTTACAGCCCTCTCTGAGTGGTTTACAGAGTCAGCCTCTTGCCCCCCAATAATCCGGGTCCTCATTTCATCGAACTCGGAAGGATGGAAGACTGAGTCCACCTTGAGCCTGTCAGGATTGAACTCCTAGCAGTGAGCACCGAGTTAACCTGCAACACTGCATTCTAACCACTGCGCCACCATGGCTCTCATGCTTGGTGTTAAACCTTCCAGTACTTGCTTGTTGGTCGCCTTTGCTGTCCAAAGAATATGCAGGAGCTTTCTCCAGCACCACAACTCAAACAAGTCAATTTTCTTCCGGCCTTGCTTTTCTTTTAAGGTCCCACAATCCCCTCTTCCTTTCTGTTCAAGGCTTTCTCTTCAATATCCAGTTGCTCCTAAAGTTTCCCCCAGTCTTTTGATTGTTTTCATTGCTTTTCTCTGAACTGGGTTGAATTTGTCTCAATAGTCGCTGAAATCTAGTCAAGGTGAATTGATTAATTCAGAATTTGGAAACTCTCCTTCTGTTGATGCAGTTTAAAAATCGCATTTGCTTTTTATTTTTTCATTTCTGAGTCATTTCTCATTGCTGACTCTACAATTCCAGGATCCTTTTCATGTCTAGTAATTACTGAGCAAGGCATTCCTCATCCTCTACTCGATCTTTTGATTCCTTTTTCTTAAGTGGAGAATTTGGAAAAGTACTCTGCATTACACATGCACGCACACAAGTATGTATAAATAATGTGATAGCAAAGAGTTTACAAGTGAGCTTTATCCAAATAGTGTGGTTGCCAA